GAGGACGGAGGCCTGAAATCTTTTATATGTGTTAATATATGCAGTTTGCTTGGCGCTGTTGGCCTACCATGGAGGGGAACACAGTCGAATTTTGACAATTATTGAATACGCTGGAAGTTGTGCCATTCAGATCTCCCAAATAAGCAAGCCTGCATGTACAGTGACTTGGTAATCTGCCTGTGTTTCTTGATATTAAAAGTAACCAAGAGCATTGCCACGGAAAACTCGCAAAAAAACCGGCAAAGAAGAAGCCATTACAAAGAAAAAGGTGCATACTGCTTGAGGCAGTAAAAAAAAAGGTGTATTCTACCTTGAAAGGCGGACCTGGTAAATGTGCTGTCAGGCTGACTCTGAAGCGCAAGGTCAAGTGGTGTAGTGGGTAGCACGTCGCGTCCGGATGTGAAGGGGAATGGTTCGATTCCCTTGCGGGTCCATGACCGTTTTGGAAAACAGACTTCGTTCAAGACAGGCCATAGAAGGTATGTTCGTTAAGCATACGGTGCAATATTAATTTGTGTTTTATCGTTTTCCAGTCGCGAACCGAAATATATGGTGAATCCGGTGGATTACGAAAAAGCGAGTCCGGAAAAGCGTGCACAGTTGATTGAGGAAGCAACACCTACCGCCCGGCGAAATATTATCCTAATTCGGCACGGTCATTACGTGACCGATCCAAATGAGAAAAATTATCTCAGTTTAACACCATTAGGTAGTGCTTTCAAATATTACTGTCAGATCGAAAAGTATAAATTATGATGTATTAAAGCGCTACTGGACTTTTGATTGGGAAAGGACACGTTATTGTCAGGCTGAACGTTGATTGATGCTTCGTTTCCGCTAGTGGAAAAACGAGTTTTCCGAGGATTCTTCGATTTTTCTGGTTCTTACTCGTACCTGGGCGCAAAACTGCCATGGGTTTACTTCATAATCAGTCCGTGATAGAAAATGTCATTAACAGCTTTGCCTGTGGTGGGGTGCGTATCGCTATTTGGATTACTTCCCAGTGTCTCAGTTCTCTTGGAAAGTGAACTTTGGGAGGTTTTTGAATTGTATTAAACCATTTTGTAGCGAAGTTTTTTATACATTCAGGAATAAACACTCAAAAAAATCCAAGTGTTGTTTTGTCATGGGGAGGGGAGGCGCGGGAGAGGTAGGGGGAAGGGCCAAAGAGGAAGCGTTGAGCCGATAGTCTGCTCAGGAGATGAAATGAACGTCATGATCGACAGTAGGTTTACCACCAGACGATGCAGAATTGGTCAAAGACGTTGAAAGAATTATCAGCTCTGTAGTTAGGAAAACCGATTATGAATTGCACATAAACTCAGCATTCCAGATATGATAATAAATCTACTTAAAATGCACTAAAATTAATTAATTAGAGTGTAGATTTGGAAGAATATAAGAGAATTCTTTATGGCTGTATATCTGAGTGGTATGAAAGTGAGAAAAGACGGGAAAAGTGAAAAGTGTGGCATATAGGGATTCCGGGATTGCGGATTCGCTCGGCACTTATCTGAGTGATTGTAAAATGTTTAGTGACTCTGTAGGAGAAAATTAAAAGTTCCTTAAGAATGCGAAAAAGGCAGGAAAATATGTTGAGGTTTTTTTTTTTTGCGTCTTCTGAGGTTTTTCTCCGGAAATTTTACTTGCTATTACAGGAAAAGAACAAGCGAAATGTGTTGCTGAACGATTGCAAAACAGTGGTGTCAAATTCGACAGTCTTGTTATGTCAACGATGACGAGAGCCGTTGAAACGGCTAAATTTATTCTTGAAAAACTACCAGCAGTCACCTCAAAAAGTGATACATTGCTAGAGGAAGGTGCACCGTTTCCTCCTGAGCCACCCAGTAAAAATTGGCGGCCAAAGCACAAAGTAAATTTTTATACTGCGCATAAGTCAAAAGGTAAAAACCCCCTGTATCTACTGATATATGTGAGAGGCTCAAACAATTGAAAATAGCCCAAGTGGTAGCCGCTAAGAAGTAGGTTGATGGTGGTTTTAACTAATTTGGTCCTGTCGCAGTGTTGAGTTAAGACGTATATGATTTAATGGATTGAAACGTCTTATCTCGTTCTTGCCTCCTTTCGTCATTCTTCCTGCTTTCTATGTTTTTTGCCTAGCGCGTTGCTGTCCTCTTGTATCTATCTCTAATTCCACATCTCCTACATCCCATCTTAGCA